GCCGGTCAGAGTGGATTTCCGAGATTTGATTTCATAGGTGTGCGCGGAAAGCAATAATGCCCACCGTTGCATACGACTAGCGGCTAACGGAGGAAAGCCAGTGTGGGGGCCAAAAATTGAAGTCAGGGGTCGATGGTCTGTGAGAAGAGTAAACTTCCGTCCGAACAGGTACTGATGAAACTTCCGAATTCCGAAAACGATTCCCAATGCCTCACGTTCGATTTGGGCATAGTTAGTTTCTGCTTTGCTTAGAGTGCGTGAAGCAAAAGCAATAGGTCTCTCTTCTCCCGAAGGCATAATGTGTGACACGACTGCTCCCACTCCATCAGGGGACGCATCGCAGGCCAACTGTAGGGGTAAGGATGGCTCAAAGTGCGTCAGAACTTCAGAATTTAGCAATGCATCCTTAGCTTTGTTAAATGCAACATCACAGGCTTCAGTCCACTTCCAGGCCTTGTTCTGCCCAAGGAGTTCGTGAAGTGGTTTTAGCTGTGTGGCTAACTGTGAGATGAACTTTCCATAATAGTTCAATAGTCCTAGAAACGAGCAAAACTGGCTAACATTTCGAGGAGGGGGAGCCTCCACAATAGCCTTAACCTTGGCAGGGGCCTTACGAAGACCTGTAGCATCAATGATGTGTCCCAAATATTCAAGAGAGGCTGGAAGAATTCACACTTGTCTTTGCGGACTCACAGTCCATACTCTTCCAGTCTTTGTAGGGTAGCCTCTAAATTCTTTAGGTGACCTTCCTCATTCCTTCCAGTGACCAGGATGTCATCCCGAAAGCACTGGACTCCTGGCAAGCCACACAAGATCTGGTCCATAGACCTCTGGAACAGGGTGGGCGACAGTATCGATAAAGCCCCTTATGCGTCATAATAGTCAATAGCTCTTGGGACTTTTCATCAACGTACATCTGTAAATACGCTTGACTCAGATCAATCTTACTGAACTTTTGTCCCCCAGCCAGGCCTGCGAAGAGGTCATCGATGCAGGGAAGCAGGTATTGCTCTGCACACAACACTGGGTTGAAACTGACTTTAAAATCACCGCAAATCCGGAGGGAGCCATCTTTCTTCACAATTGGAACAACTGGAGTTGCCCATGGGCTATGGGTAACTGTTATTAGGACTTCATTGGTGACCAGGCGCCCCAGGTCCGCTTCAACCTTTGGCCTGATGGCATATGGCACAGTTCTGGGTTTCAGATATTTTGGTGGACTGTCAGGTTTAATGTTCAATGTCACAGTGATTCCCTTCATACTTCCCAGATCCTCTCCAAAAACAGCAGCATGTTTCCTTAGTACAGTGCTCAGACCGGTTTCTTCTTTAGTCGTTTCATGCACTTCTGCCCAGTTCAGCTGAATCTTCCCAAGCCAAGACCTACCCATTAAGGCTGGGTAATTACCTCTCACCACAAACAGTGGCAATTTTACAGCCTGTTCATTGAGCTCCACCTTAACATCAGTAGTGCCCAACATGGGCACAGCTTCTCCCGTATATGTCATAGACTCATAGACTTTAAGGTCAGAAGGGACCATTATGATCATCTAGTCTGACCTCCCGCATGATGCAGGCCACAAAAGCTGACCCACCCACTCCTGGAATAATTCTCTCCCTTGACTCAGCTGTTGAAGTCCCCAAATCGTGATTTAAAGACTTCAAGTCGCAGAGAATCCTCCAGCCAGCGACCCCTGCCCCATGCTGCGGAGGAAGGCGAAAAACCTCCAGGGCCTCTGCCAATCTACCCTGGAGGAAAATTCCTTCCCGACCCCAAATATGGCGATCAGCAGAACCCCGACTATGCAGGCAAGATTCTCCAGCCAGACCCGCATTGACCATTGATACTATTTACCAGCGATGGCACGTTATTGACCTATTGACTAAAATCACGTTATCCCATCAAACCATCCCCTCCATAAA